TTGCCTTTTAGAGAGCAATCCTGAGTCTCCAGTGACCATTACAGAGCCCTACCGGACCCTCTCAGGGCACACAGCCAAGATTACCAGTCTGGCTTGGAGCCCCCATCATGATGGAAGGCTGGTATCTGCTTCCTACGATGGAACAGCCCAGGTACTATTGTGTCCTTGACCCTATGAGTCCTTTAAATTCTTCCTCTTTTCTTCCAGTTGTGGACAAGTTTTCCTTCCTCCCTTATCATCTTCTACAGAAAGGGATTTTAGGGGCTTTAGAAGGCATTTTAGTTTTATTCCACTTATCTGGTCCTTAGCAGACTAAGACTGGATTTTTTTTACTTAGATGAAAGGGAAAGTATTGATAGGAACTAGCTAAGTCCTAACATTTTTACAGATTTCATTCTGACTCACTAGTAGTATAGTAGACTAAAATTATGTGAAAATTACCTTCTGTTCATACATGGAAATGTTGGCTAACAAATCACAAAAACAATTTTTAATAACAAATTGATAAGTTACAAATCTTCCAGTTCTGAAAAATAAAAGATGAAATGCCAAGCCAGATTTATGAGGTAGGAGTTCCAGGTAACAGAATGAGAATAGACCTTAGGAACTGGGGATCTAACATCCATGATGGATATCTGTCTCAGTGTTGAGTTGTACTTGAGTTGCCTGCACAAAGCTGGGAGCCATGAAGGCTGCCTTCTATAAAATTGAGATCAGAATAACTCAAGAAACAGCGAGGAAATTGACCATTTGCCCAGGGACTTGGGAACAAAAGAATCACCTATGAGAAATTAAAACCCTAATTTTTGGATTAGATATGGGATATTTTTTTCATGATATCAGAACCCCCAGTCCAAAAATTAATACACAGTACCAGTTTGGCACAGTGAAATCCATAGGGCCTCAGAAAACTTATGCCCCAAAACAATAGAATAACAGAAATTGTTTATTCTGTCGTGTGACTTTTGGGTTTAGGTGTGGGATGCTGTTCGGGAAGAGCCCCTGTGTAATTTCCGAGGACATCGAGGTCGACTGCTTTGTGTGGCATGGTCCCCATTAGATCCAGACTGCATCTACTCCGGGGCGGATGACTTCTGTGTGTACAAATGGCTCACTTCCATGCAAGATCATTCTCGGCCTCCTCAAGGTCAGTCAGAACCTGGAGCCCATAAAATGATTTCCTAATTCCCTTTCTCCCTTCCTTAATAATGGAGTTGATCAGGGTCGAACAAGCAAGACATTCATGCAGGACAGTAGTGTCAGTATTGTTGGGATCTGGAGCCTAAGCAAGGAAGGCAGCCATCAGGGGCCCGCGGGCAGCAACACCCAAATAGTAAGGAGCACACCTAGCTTCCACGTCATGGTTTCTAAATGTCATTCTCCACTAAAAGGGTCAATGACTTCTTGGAAAAATGACTGGTTCCAGATTGGGACAGGGAAAATACAAAATGGCATTTTCCCTTGAACATTATCTTATGCTAGAGAGGAAGGAGGTACTCCAAAGAATTAAGGAAACACATTAAAAAGACAAGCAAGCTTGTAAAAGCTTCCAGTGACCAAATCTGAGACAATTTGAACTTGAAAATAAGAGGAGAATTCCATTTCTGGCTAAGAAAGATTAACTGGTACCAGACTTGCCCACCCTTCATAAACAACTAGAAAACTAGACAGAATATATTAAACAACTAGAAATTTACCCCCAAGAAATGATGATAGGTCCGCATAAAGACTTGTAAAAGAATGCTCATAGCAGCTTTATCTGTGATCATCAAAAACTGGAAACAACCCAACTGTCCATCAGCACATAAATGAATAAATTGTGGTGTATCCCTACAGTGGAATTCTACTCAGCAATAAAAAGTAAGTAACTACTGATAAACACAACAAAATGGATGAATCTGAAAAACATTATGCCAAGCAAAAGAAGCTAGGCACAAAAGACTACGGTATAATTCTGTTTATGTGAAATTCTGGAACAGGCAAAACTAAACCATGGTGACAGTAGATCAGTGAATGTCTGACCTAAAAGCTCCCCTCCCTGGGGGAACTTGCAAGTTATTATCCTTCCTGCCTGGAGTTTTTTCCTGGCTTTCTGTCTTCTCACAGAAAAAGAAATTATGAATGATTATTAGGTTCTTCCAGTCAGTTAAGCTATAGTGGCACGTCTCAGATTTCTCACAAAACAGCATTCCATCACTAATTTATAATAATGTAATCTATTTCTAGTTTAAAGAGGAAAAAATGTTATTGGGTAAAATTTTGGCACTTTATTGTTCTTTTATATATTTACCTTAAATATCTGTTACCCAGGGGTTCAGAGTGCATTTTACTGCAAAGAGGCATGAGGGAACTTTTCAAGGTAGTAGAAATATTTTATATGTTGTTTGTGATGGTGATGGGTTACATAATTATATACATTTTTCAAAACTCATCAAAGTATTAAAAAGTGGGTATATTTTATTATATTAAATTATACCCCAATAAAAGTGATTTAAAAATAAGCAAAGGATAAAATACTTTAAAACTAAAAAGGTAAATAGATTATAACCTAAAATAGGAATCCGTGGGTCCATACTGCTATAAATAAATGAATGCCTAAATAAGTGGGGAGAAGCAGACTCTTGCTTATAGTAGAATGCTAACTAATGAATGTAGAGTGAATGATGGAATTAGAAACTCACCATTTGGCAGTCATCATAGTAACAATTTTTAGTTAAGAAACATGAATGGATACTAAAACTAGTAGATGTAAATACTCAGTAACTAGATAGGAGAAATACTTTTTTAGGAGGTAACCTACAAGACACCCCTTTAATCAAATGATCAAAGTAAACCAAATAATGGGACAAGTAAAAATCATAGATTGATTGCCCAGAGATGAACACAGCGTCACTTCTTTGTGTTCCAGCTGAAGATGTAGAACCTAAATCTAATGAAAAACATCAGGCAGATGTAAATAGAGGGAAATTCGATAAAGTAACTATCTTGTAATCTTCAAAAGTTTCAAGTCATGAAAGGGAAGACCAAGCAACTGTTCCAGGCTGAAGGGAACCAGAGAGGCAGGACAACCAAATGCAGTATGTGATCCTGGATTGATTACTTTTGCTATAAAAGTATCTCAATGCAATTGGCAGAAATTGAATGGAATATGTAGAGGAGGCAGTAGTAATGTATCAGTGTTAGCTTCCTGATTTCAGTGTTTGTACTGTGGTGGTGTTGGAGAATGTCCTTGTTCAAAAGATACACACTGAAGTATTCAGGGGTAATTGGGCATTGTATTTATGATTTAATGAAATCCCAAAGGGATTTGGTTGACACTCTGGTAGTACCTCCAATAATTCATTGAAGAGGAAGGAAAAGGGTAAGAATGTTATTAAGAAGAGTAAAAGCTGGGCACTGTGGTGAGCACCTGTAGTCCTAGCTACTCAGGAGGCTGAGGTGGAAGGATAGCAAGAGCTAAGAAGTTCAAGTCCAGCCTGGACAACATAGCGACACCCTGTCTCAAAAACAAAGAGTAATGAAGTATTGGACATTACCACCTAGAGTGCTTTTAACTAACAATGTATATTTTAGTCTGCCCCTTTTTACTGTGATTCCTGTAGGCAAAAAAAGTATTGAATTAGAGAAGAAACGACTTTCTCAACCTAAGCCAAAGCCCAAAAAGAAAAAGAAGCCCACCTTGAGAGCTCCCGTAAAGCTGGATTCGATGGATGGGAATGAAGAAGAGAGCGTCAAGGAGAACTTGGGACCTGTTGAGAATGGCGTGTCAGACCAAGAGGGGGAGGAGGAAGCTCAGGAGCCAGAGTTGCCCTGTAGCCTCGCTGCAGTGGGTATGTGGCAGAATCCTGTGCTTCCCTAACTCTAGGAATTCATAGTTATGTCTGGGAAGCTAAGCTGGGTCCTCACTCAGTTTGAGACTTCTCTGTCTCTGACCTGCCTATTTTCCCAAGTGCCTAACTTGGGTGCGTCTTTGGTGCCCTTGGAAACTGCATTAGTTTTTTTATTTAAAGCTGTCTCAGTCTCTAAAAGAAACACCTTTGAAGTTTTAAAGAGGATCTAGTGGATGGTTGAGGTGGAAATAGTAAAGTTCTGTGGAGAAAATCTTTTAATCAACTTGGGCACCGTGACGATGGGGCAAAGTGAAGCTAGGGTAGTATGTGCATAGAAACTTACATGGAAAAGCTTTAACAGCATGACATCGTTAGCCACGTTTATTGAAAGAAACCACTGTCCCTAACGAATGTCTGACCTAGAAGCTCCCACCCCAGGGGAACTTGCAAGTTCTCATCCCTCCTACCTGAAGCTTTTTCCTGGCTTTCTGTCTTCTCACAGAAAAAGAAATTATGAATGGTTATCAGGTTCTTCCAGTCAGTTAAGGTATAGTGGCGCGTCTCAGGTTTCTCACAAAATAGCATTCTATCACTAATTTATAATAATGTAATCTAGTTCTAGTTTAAAGAGGAAAAAAATGTTATTGGGTAAAATTTTAGCACTTTATTATTTTATATATTTACCTTAAATATCTGGTACCTGTTACCCATTAAAATGAATGATTAGCAGACAGTGCACATTAGAAGCAATGACTCATGCTTAATTCTAAAACAGCATATTTTGTTGTGACAATTAAAATGACCAAAATATATGGTACAGGGACATCCCTGACCCTGACCCCCTCCATCCCAAAAGATAGCTGTTAGACCCATAGTTTGAGTAAATAAAGAGCTATAAGGCTAATGGATTTATCTTTTAAGCTCATCAAAATGCCATTCTAGCCAGGTGTGGTGGCACATCCTGTAATCCCAACTACTTGGGAAGATCATTTGAGCCCAGGAGTTTGAGTCCAGCCTGGGCAACATAATGAGACCTCATCTCTTTTTAAAGAAAGAAACAGAAAAAAGAAGCCTTTCTGTCACAAAATGGCCACACAAAATGTCCTTTACCCCTTTGGATCAACAAATTGTTTTTTAAAAAGTTCGTGTGCTCAGGGTTGTGACTCCATATCACATATACTTAATATTCTCTATTAGTAAAATTATTCCTTGTTAGTGTAATAAATATGCGGTTAGTACTTTGTGACCTAAATATGTAAGAAGTGCTTTTGTCACCTGATCAAAGTTTGGGAACTACTGGGCTTATGGTATAAAGTTGAGGAGGCTAGAAGCTTGTGACTTCTCGTTAGATAGTCAAAGTTCTAAGTAATAAAGGCTCCTGAAACACAACTAGTTTGTGAGGTGGGGAGGGAAATACCACTCATGCTTCCTTTCCAATGCGTTTTATCTCATATGTTTTGGTAATAGATAAGATTGCATTGCTGAGCCTGGAATAGCTCTTAATTTTTAAAAAGAACTAGATTCTATATATAGTTTTTATCCTAAACCTTTTTCCTTTTTTCCCCCATGATACAGTTTCTAGAGAACCAGTGACCTGCACTGCAGTTTCCTCAGGCTTTGAAAAGTCAAAAGTCACCATTAATAACAAAGTCACTTTTCTGAAAAAGGAGCCACCTAAAGAGAAGCCAGGTCGGTGTCTAGTAATTAAAATAGTGTTTTGTTAAAGCATCCTACAATATTACATGGAACTGAAAATTCAAAGGTATATGGTTTTTGGGGGGTGCTTTTTTAGGTTTTAAATATTTGTAGGTGTTTTGATTATGTTTCAGTTTTGGGTCATGCTTTTGAACATTTTTTTAGCATTTGATGAAATGTTTTGCAGTTGTTGATATTGCATCATGAATGTTAGCAAGGACATTTTCGTGTGTATTGTGAACATTGCCTGCAGCTAATTTATTTTGAAAGTTTCTGTATAGGAGTAGAAACTTTCTGAGCCGAGTAGTATCCCTCTAGTAGGTTACATTCACACAATAGGCATTCCATTTTGTGTTTCTGCTCAGCTCTCTTTCAGATGGTCTATACTTTTTTTACATTTCAGAAGCCTTAATCAAGAAGAGAAAAGCTCGTTCCATGCTTCCACTGAGTACGAGTCTGGACCACAGGTCCAAAGAGGAGCTTCATCAGGACTGTTTGGTACTAGCATCTGCAAAACACTCAAAAGGTATGAAAATACTCTTCCTTGGCCCATCCATGGCCTTCTGGGAACTGACATATAAAGGACATTTACTTATTGTTGAATGAATGAGCAAACAAATGTCTAAAATTGTTGTATTTTTATATTCTTTTCCAGCCTTCCCTCCCCCCTCAAGACCCCCAGGCCCTACTGCCAACTCCCCATTCTGACCTGTCAGCACTGCCAATGCCTTTGAGACGTAGTGCTCTGTTTTTATTGTTCTAAATCTAGTTGCTCCCAGCCATCTGTGTGCCAGAATTGGTATGTTGGCTTAGATATCTCAGCACTAATAGACTCCTTCAACTATTTTTTACCATTGCACAGTGTCTTTATGGAGGAAAAAAAATTTTTTTCCTCATTGAAAATATACCCATGATATGACAATTCCTTAAAAAAATTGATAAAAGTTTTTGTTTTGGAGAAAGTTTCATTATGAAGCATTTTTTGATTTTTGTTTTTCAAAGCCCTAATTTAATGCCCACTATTTTGATATTTGAGCAACTTTTTTTTAATTTTTATTTTTGCACGTTGAAAAGGGATGCACATGATAAAATGAAATTGAAACAGTATAAGAAGAAGGTAAATCCCCCACTGGGCACAGTGGCTCAACACCTATAAGCCCACTGACTCAGGAAGCTGAGGCAGGAGGATCACTTGAGGCCAGGAGTTCTAGACCAGCCTGGGCAACATAAAGAGAGCTCGTCTCTAAAAAAAATAAAAAAAGTAAATCACTCTCCCAGTCCTCCATTTCTTTCCCCCATTCACTGTCTCTCCCTACCCCAGCAACAGTGACCACTATCTTGGATTTCTATTCCTTGTTGTATCTTTTGAATTTCATACTGTATTGTATGTATTACATAATCAAACTATTATCAGTTTCTTGTGTCTCACAAGACATTTTATGTTTTTTTATTATATATAAAGCCTTTTTGGAGTTTTGAGATGACTTCCTATGACTTATACAGCTAACCACAGGTAGTTTTACATTATTTCCCTTATTGAAAAATAATTGACTTTTTTAAAAAGCAGGGAATGAATCAATATTCATTCTTGTGGTAGGTCCCCAGTGAATATTAAGGACATTGTTTTACTTACTAGTGTTGTTTTGTTTGTTTTTACAACATATAAATATGTATTGTATGTTGAGTTGGCTTTTAATGTTTTCTTTTTTTTCCCCCAATCTTTGAGCAAACTACAAACTAAATTGCCTTAATTGGATTTAGCTAAGGCTGAGCTTTAAAAACTCCTAAGTATTTTAATACTTTGTTGCTTTTGGAACTGCAGGGGTAGTTAAACAAGGGTACAAAGCTCTGATTTTCCCAGTGTCTGAAGTAGGTGTTCCAGAGATACATTTAGAAGTTATTGTACAGAAAACAGTAACTAACCTATGTAATGACTTCATCTGATTTTTTTTATCTTTCTAAATTAACAGAGCTAAATGAGGATGTGTCTGCTGATCTTGAGGAAAGATTTCACCTGGGGCTTTTCACAGACAGGGCTACCCTGTACAGAATGATTGAGATTGAAGGTGAGACAAAACTGGTCAACATAATTGCACCCATCTTTATACCTTCCTAGTATTTTATATGCCCCTCTTTTATGGCTGCCATCCTTTGGTACTATAATGGTTAGTTTTACATGTCAATCAAGTTTTGAGCTCCCTGACTTACATGTTCTTATACACCTCTTGCGTCATCATAGGATCCTAAACATACACTCTTCAGTCTGAGTGCAAGTGAAGGAGCGTAGGTGGACAAGTGACTAAGTGGGCTTCAGGCCCTATTATAATGACTCTGGTAGGTGACTCGCCCATCAGCGAGTAACTACCTATTTTAGAAGTTCATTCCTCTCTTTTATCCTGCCTTTTTTTTTTTCCAGAAGTCAGTGAAGACAGATGTTTCTGAAACATCTTGCAAACATTATCTCTCTTTCAAACAGGAAAAGGTCACCTGGAAAATGGCCACCCTGACTTATTTCACCAGCTCATGCTTTGGAAAGGGGATCTAAAGGGTGTTCTCCAGACCGCAGCAGAAAGAGGGGAGCTGACAGACAATCTTGTGGCTATGGCACCAGTAGGTATGTTTTTTTCAACAAAAGTTCTATCATCTCTAGGATACATCCACTAAAGATGGCTCTTAGTAGTAGCAGTCTTAAGCTTGAAATCATTTACAAATATAGTTAGATACAAAGCTGATTCTGTTTACAGCGACTAATAAATCAACTTGACCCCTAAAAAGAGGCAGGCTACTGACATCTTTAATGGCAGAAGCTTAATTGGTGAGAACTTCTCGAAGAACAATTTGGCCATGTCTGATAAATTTTAAAATGCAGTGGGAAACATCTGTAGTCCCAACTATTTGGGAGGCGGAGATGGGAGGATCACCTAAAGACAGGAGTTTAAGACTCTAGCATACTATGAGCATACCTGTGAATAGCCACTGCACTCCAGCCTGGGCAACACAGCAAGACCCCACCTCTTAAAAAAATGCATATAATCTTTAACTCATAAATTCTAATTATAGAAATTTATCTAACTGTGCTCACACATGCAAAATGACAAATATACGTGGACTTTCATCGCAGCAGTATTTGTAATAGCAAAAGATTGCAAGAACCTCTGTGTTCATCAATAAGAGACTGGCTAAATCATGTACGTTTATACAATAGAAACCCCCACAGATACCAAACAAATAAGGCAGCTCTGTGCATTCTGACATGGATTAGAGCTCCAAAGTGTAGTAAGTTAAAAGAATTAAGGTGTAGATGTACAACAGAATATTTACTACTCATTTGTATTTACACAGTAATGTGGTTGTATATTCACAGACTATTTCTAGCGGTTTCAGAAGAAACTGGTATTGATGATTGCCTAAAGGAAGAGGAATTTGGGTGAGGTGTGGTGAGAGAGTACCAGGATAACCAGGAAACATTTTATATACCATGCTCAGGGTTTTTTTAGCCTTTTATTCAGCTGTGCTACGTATAGAGAGAGAAGTACATGGATCATGAGTTTACAACGAATTTCACGAACTGAATACACCCTCGTAACCAGCTCCCATATCAAGAAAACATAACAGTACAAACACCCTGGAAGCTCCCCTCAAACTCCGTTCCAGTCACTGTCTCTGCCCATTCTAACAAGAGTAACCACTATCCTGGACTTCCATCCCTTTTTGTATCTTTGGAATTTTGTACTATTTTGTATGTATTACATAATCAAAAAAACAATCTACATTTCAAAATGTGGATGTGGGGGGAGAGGTAGAGGAAACAGCTAATTGGTAATGGCCCTAAATTAGTATTTAAATGTTCTACTTCATGCATTGACTATGAAAAGAAGGCATTTTCAATACAAATGTACATGCTTTTTTTTTTTTTTTTAACTATTAATACCATCTTTCATTTTTTCAGCTGGCTACCATGTATGGCTCTGGGCCGTGGAAGCTTTTGCCAAACAGCTGTGTTTTCAGGATCAGTATGTCAAGGCGGCTTCTCACCTCCTTTCCATCCACAAAGTGTATGAAGCTGTGGAGCTGCTCAAGTCAAACCATTTTTATAGGTCTGTATGGTGCTAGAGTTGAGCCAATAGTCAGATATCATGTGAAAATAACCTAAACTTCTTTGTTGTTGAAGTAACACCAATAGAGGAAACGGCATAAAACAAATGAACAGCTTGTTAAATTCTTACAAGAGGAACTCCATTATTAATCCCCACCTATGAAAGGAAGCAGAATCTTGGCAGCTACCCCAAAATTCCTCCATGTACCCCAAGTTTATTTTTTTAAAGAAATATATAACAGGACTGGGCGTGGTGGCTCATGCCTGTAATCCTAGCACTCTGGGAGGCCGAGGCGGGTGGGTCGCTCAAGGTCAGGAGTTCGAGACCAGCCTGAGCAAGAGCGA